AAAAAAAGAGGAAAAAAGTGTTTTGCCTTAAAAAAAAAAAAAAAAAAAAAAAAAAAAAAAAAAAGTCAATAACATAAAACTGCCTAACCTCAAAGAAACAACCACTAGTATTTTTAAATAGCAAAGAAATTAGTGAACTTTTATAATTTGAATGTTGGTCTAGAGGGCTTAATGGTGGCTTCCAAAAAAGTATATTCACATCCTAATCCCCAGAACCCATGAACATTTATCTTATTTTGGAAAAAAATGTGTCTGCAAATGTAATTAAATTAACGATCTTGAGATGAGATCATCCTTGATTATCCAGGAGGGACCTATAGCCCGTGACAAGTGTCATAATAGGAAACACACAGGGAAGATGGAGATTTAACAGAAAAAAGAGGAGGCAATGTGACAACGGAGGCAGAGTTTGGAGTAAGACAGACAAGACACATGGCAAAGATTGCTGTATTAGCCTGTTTTCTACAGAATACCCAGAGTGTTTTACTGTTCTATCTCAATAATTTCTTCCTGAAAAGTCATTGACTTCAGAAGAGTATAGCATTCCCTACATTGCAACAATCTCCAAGGTTCTGTACCGTGCTAAGCCTGTGGTTCTCAACCTTGTCTATGCTTTAGAATCACCTGGGGAGATTTTTAAAAATACCTATATCTGAACCAACCCCACACTCAGAGATTTCTAATTTACTTGATCTGGAATTGGACTTGGGTATCAAGTATTTTTTAAATGCTTAGTGTCTTATTCCTCAGCATCATATTTGTAAAACGGACTACCTAAAACAGAACAACTAAAACTGGGTAATTTATAAAGCAATAGAATTGCTTTCTTACAGTTTTGGAGGATGGGAAGTCCAAGGTCCAGGGGCCACATCTGATGAGGAACTTCTTGGTGCAGTCACAAGGAGACACCCCAAGGGTTGACCGAGACTACACCAACGTGCTCACTTGCTCTCCTTAGCCCCTAGTGATACCACTCCCGTGATAACCATTCATCCATTCACCCATTAATCCATGAATGAATTAATACATTCGAGAGGGCAAAGTCTTCACCATCCAATCACCTCTTAAAGGCGCCACCTTTCGGGCCGGCCCAGTGGCGCACTGGATAGTGCACCGCTTGGGAAGCGCGGCGGCGCTCCCGCCTGAGGGTTCGGATCCCACATACAGACCAGTTCCTGCTCACTGGCTGAGCGAGGTGCCGGAGCAACGCCGAGGGTTGCGATCCCATTGCCGGTCCCCGGTCCGGTACGGGGGCAACACTGAGGGTTGCGATCCGTTGCCGGACACGGAAAAAGACAAAAGCAAAAAAAAAAAAAAAAAAGCGCCACCTTTCAAATACCATAGTGAGATTAAGTTCCAACATGAGTTTTGGAGCAGACAAACATTCAACTCATAGCAATTGCTGACAGCCAACAGAAGCCAGAAGAGGCAAAGGATGGATTCTCCTCCAGATCCCCAGAGTGGGGCCCTGTCAACACCTTGATTTCAGACTTCTGGAGTCCTGAACTGTGAGAGAATAAACCTCTGTTCTCTTAAGCCAATCAGTTTGTGGTAATTTGTTACGGCAGCCATAGAAAATAAATGCAGCTGGAAAAAAATATTTCCTCATCTAAATTTTCTGCTTCCATATAGCTGCAAAATTTAATAAATTGCAATTCTACTCTTTATACTTCTGTCTTTATGCTTCTACGTGCAAGATAGATTTCAGTTCAAAATGTTATTTCTATTATTAAAATGTCAAACTTTTATTACTATTGTTACTTTTATGTGCAATGTTTTATTTGCTCTTTTGTCTTTTTAACATATGTCCTAGAGGTGAGCTTTAGGCTGGGTTTACCAGCAATCTAGAGTACAAAGTGAAGGACTTGGTTGAGCTTTCATAATTCTGCTAAGCGTTGATTTAAAATATATATATGTGGGGAGATTAAAATATATATATTTGGGAGGTAAGGGTTGGAGAAAGGAGCCTTGGTACAGAAAGAATAAGAATAATACCCTTACTGTAAAGTCTATGGTTTGTAGGGAAATGTCTGTAGACATGATTTAAAGAAGGCTGTCTCAAATTCCAGCAGAGAGATATGCTACAAAATACCTGACCAGTATTCCTCAAAACTGTCCATGTCATCAAAAACAAGGAAAGTGTGAGAAGTTGTCACAGCCACGAAGGGCCCAAGGAGACATTTAGACTAAAAATAATGTGGTATCCTAGAACAGAAAAAAGACATTAGGTAAAAATTAAGTTAATTTGAATAAAGTAATACATTTAGTTAAGAATAATATACCATTATTGGTTCATTAATTTTAACAAATGTACTGTACTAATAAAGGATGTTAATAGCGGCTGAAATTGGGTGCTGGATATATAGAAATTCTTCGTAGTTTTTCAATTTTTCTGTAAATCCAAAACTGTTCTAAACAATAACGTCTATTTAAGAAAAAAAAAAAAAGGCGTCTCTACCAGCATTCATATTTTAAACAAGAAACTAAGGTTGAAGGAAGTGAAACGTTATACAAATCAGTTATGTTGAGGAAATTTTCTCGACTGTTCCCCAGAATGCCAGTCCATATTGTAAAAAATTACTTAATAAGGTCTTTTCCCTAATTACTTGCGATGTTCCCATAAGGGAACACGGAGAAACATTTCCGGACTTGCAAACAAAAATGTTTTTAAACCAAAACCCATTAGGCTTCTAGTCTAGTTCCCAGGGCTAACTGGCGTGCCATCTGCCCGCAGCCTAACGTGGTAACCATGGTTCACGTGTCGCAACAGCAGCTGCGGGTGTTAGGGCGTTTGCCCCAGCAAGTCTGGACAACTCCGCTTCCGCGCAGGTTGCTGAGGGGAGGAGGCGGAGGCCACAGCATCACAGCGTGTGTATCGTTTTTCCAAACCCCATCTGCTTTCCCCTCCCCTGGCTGTGCCCGCGGTCCCCGGGCGCGGCAAGGCGCGGGGACGTGAGCGCGTCTTTTATGCATAACAAAAGAGGCCTCCTCCTCCTCCTCCTCCCGCCGCCTCGCGCCGCCCCCACCTTGGTTTCCCGCGGCCCCCGGGGCCCGCGTCCCCGGCAGGAATTGACTCCCGGGCCAGAGGTTTCCAGGTTCCCGGAAGGGGGAGGGAGCCGAGGCGGCAACAATTGGGCGGGTGAGGGCGAAACGCGCGGCCGGGACCGCCAAGACTCGGAGGGGCGGTGAGTCCGGGCCGTGCTGCCGCGCGATTGGTCGGGGCCGCCCCGCCGGCCGCCGCTGATTGGTGGATTCTCAAATTCGGTCTCAAGGCGCCAGAGGAGGTGTTTTAGCGGGGACCGCGATCCAGGCTGGAGTGGCGCTCGGTGGTCGGAGCGCTGGCGCTGTCCGGACGCCGCGCGGTCCCCGCCTGCGCAGGGCACTCGGAGCCGGGGTCTTGGCGCCTCGCTTTCCGCCCCCGATGTCGCCGCCCGGCTGCTGATCGCCGCACCCCCTTCCCGCAGCGCTGTGGGGCCGTGGAAGTCCCTGCAGAGGCAGGAAGCCTCCTTCGCAAAGCTGGAGTAAGGAAGCGCGCGCCGCAGCGCCTATGGGGAGGCGGGAATGGGGGGCAAGGGGACCCCTCCCGCCCCGGCTGCCAGCCTGCCAGCCTTCTCCTCCCCTGGCTGGCGGGGACCGAGGAGTTTCTGCCGCGAAACCGGGCGTGCGGGGGCTGTGCAGGAGAGGGGACTTGTCCTCCCCCACGATGTGAGAGTTTCACTGGAAGCGTTTTATGGGGGGTCAGCTTGGAGGCCTGGGAAGGGGCTGCGCTAAGCGCTGAGTGGGTTTGGTCTAGCGATCAGGTTTCCTACCCCTCGACTGACTCAAACCCCCTCAAAGCCGAATTCCTTCCAGTTCTTTGCGCCAAAATTAACTGACCCGGGAGACCCTGTACTCTCTGACAGAATTGCCAAACACCCTCCTGACTTGGTAACTTTATTTTGCCCTGTTGCTTTTTCATAAGGAATTACTATTTTTGTCGATTTTTTTTCTCTTCAGATTTTCAGTAATTACTGAGACACTAGGTGTTTGTGTTCATTTGAGTTTTGGAGAGGGTCGGAGGGTGGCTGCAGTCCTGGAAATTCCCAGGACGCGTTTAGGGAAGGGAAAGTTCATGTTCACGAACAAGTAGTAAATATTTTTGTCGGAGGAGAAAATATCCAATTGTAAAATCGTTTTCTATGTAATTGTGCATTGCAGATGGAGGTAAATTGTTTAACACTAAAAGACCTGATCAACCCCAGGCAGCCCAGACTAGATTTTGCAATAGAAGATGGGGAAAATGCACAAAAGGTAAGCACACATAATAAACACCTCAGTCTCTAGCGTATTGAGGATGGTGATATCTAATCCAGTTAAGTGTGTTGCAACATGCCACTTGTATTTGTCTTGTAAACACCATAATTAATTTTTTTTTGTCATTTTTCGTGACCGGTAAGGGGATCGCAACACTTAGCTTGGTTTCGTCCGCACGCGCTCAGCCAGTTCCTATATAGGATCCGAACCCGCGGCGGGAGCGTCGCTGCACTCCCAGCGCTGCACTCTCCCGGGTGCGCCCCGGGGCTGGCCCAACACCATAATTAATTTTGATGAACATTAAAGAAACATTTTTTTTTTTAATGGCACTATCCAAATCATTACTGTTGAGATTCTACTCTCAGTCATGGTGCAGTGGGACTAGGTTAGGTGTAATGTTGGAACCAATTTACATAAATCAAATGGACACAGCAACCGAAAGTTTGTAATGCTTACAGTTGTCAAGGGTGTTTTAGCTAATGCTTTGTAAGAATGTTAAGCCTCAATTCTCAAGAAAATAGACTTTTCTAGTTATAAATGTTGGATTATTAAAGTGCTATGAAATGTTGTCTTCATACCAATGGGCCAGCTCCTGGAGGCTGTTCCATTCACCCAAGACTATGACCTGTGCCTACCATATGGGGCGACAGTGACTGAGCCCACCAACCTATCTGAATATTTTACAGTTTTGCACTGAGCCACTGACTTTCTTTTTGTACCCCTTGTGATGTGTAAGTAAGTCGGTTGTGTGTTCAAGAAACATTACCAAGTAAACTGGCCATAGCAATGTCTAAACTATCTGACCATTTTTAGGAAGAAACAAATAGATATAACAAAACTGGCTTTAGAAACTTTGAATATAAATCCGTCTGTGAGTAGCAACTTCCTTGGGCATTGAACTTCTCTGGGCTCCTGGTCTTATTTTTAGGCTTAGCATTAGGAATGAAACTGCCTGTTGTAAAGCATTTGTTATATGGGCCTTTGATGCATACTTGATATTTTGGATCGGTGAGAAAATGTATGCTTTTCTGTAGGTTTTTTTTTTTTGGGGGGGGCAGCATTTTGATTTATTTTCATTAGAAAAAGAAGTATACCAAAATATTATTGCTTTAAAGAGAATTTTTTTTTTAACTTACCTAAGCATATGAGGGTGGAAATGCCCAGCCTTAAAAATGTGTATTCAGAGTTTTGGCTTTGGGAGTTTCCAAGTAAAACTTTTTGTTTTCCTTTATAATTTGGATTGTCCAGCCTTAGAATCTGTGTACATTTCTATAAAGTCTAAGTCTGTGCTTTGCTTCTATCCTTCTGGGTTATTGACTTGTATCAAGTGCATTCAACAGGGTCCCTTCTCCTACTCTAGTTACCATCAGTAAGTGCTGTGTCCAGTTGATCTTTCACATTTTATCAGGCATAAAGAAAAATTTAAATGACTCAAAATAGATTGGAAAAGTGGTTAAAATATTTGAAATAGAATGTATGAGCAGGGATTATTTCACCTCAAAGAGAAGGCAAGCAATGAGAACAGAATGCTTCTGCAGAGATATGGGGAGGGGCTTTTGTCTCTCTTTTCATGTTGCTGTGGGGTAAAGGAAGGAGGCTTTCTGGGAATGGTGGGAACATGGGGTTTGGAGTCACAGAGTCCCGGGTTCGATTCCCTGCTTTACCATTTATTAGCTATGTGACCTTGAACAAATGTATTTATAAGGTCTTGCAACAAATATTTATGTTCCAGATGCTAGGAATATGGTGGATAATGAGTCTTCTAATTTCTCTAAGCCCATTTTCTTCTTCCATAAATTGGAGCTAATATATAGCACCTCGCCCCAGCAGCACATACTCTTCACATTGTACTGAATTAAACTTACAGCCCAAAAATGAATATGATGCAGACCCTGATCTTGGTTACCTGAGACACTTTTGGGGACCCAGAGGTAAAACTAGCCAACTATACTATGATTTGGTAAATGTTATAATAGTAGTGTGAACAAAGTGCCAAAGCAGGACAGAGGAGGAAGAAATAAATTCATGGGGAATCCAGAGAGTTGGGTTAAGCTTTAATGGATGAGAAAGTTTAACCTACAAGAAAATAAGAGTGAGTGAGATGGACATTTTAGGCAGAAGAAACAACATGAGATATGGGCAGTCAAGAAATATTCAAGAAATCTAGAATGGCCAGAAACTGGTGGTGCTGAGTTGTTCCATCTTGAAATCCCTCTGGGGGGTGTCTGGAGTGGAGTCCTGCTGGATCAGCTGTCATTTAGGGGACTTCTTTCTTGACTGCACATCGGTCAAGATCTATAAGTCCTGTATTATGCAAGCATCTTCTTACCACTTGTGAAGAAACTTTTCTTTAAAACATAAAGGAGTTTTCAACTCTGTTATTCAAATTTACTGTGCCCAGTTGTGGGGTTATGAACAAGACTCTCTTGTATTACATTGTTTAAAATGCATTTGGAGATGACAAAAGCAGAAAACAGTTTGGAACGAAGAGGTGAAGGCTAAGCTTTGAGCTGTTGACAGGGCTTTGAGCTAGGGTTGGAAGGAAGGCAAGCAGAGAGAAAGGGAGCTAGTGAAGAAATGGAAATGAGCATGGTGTATTTGGGGACAATACCCAGACTTAGTGGGCACAGGTGTTCTTTGAAGGTCATTCATCTTTTTTGGGAGAGGTTGAGAAAGAAGGTGACTTTAGTTTGCAATATGTTTGTACTTGTGTGATTTACAGGTAAATAAATATGTGCAGGTGGCAGTGGGTTGCCTGATTTTGGAATTCATGAAAGGTCCTAGCTAGATACAAACTTGGGAATTGTCAGCATACTTGTTGATTTTAAAGCCATAAACATGAGAGTGAATGAACTATCCCAGAGAAAGCAAATAGTGAGAGAGGTGTGGAGGGCTGCATGTGGACTCCTGTGGTTTGGAGGAGTGGAAAAAGAGGAACCAATAAAGGAGACTGAGAAGGCACAGTCAGAAGTATGAAGAGAATCAGGAGAGAAAGAGTAGTATCTCAAAATCTAAGGGCTGAGGGTTTTATAGAGCAAATAGTCAGCAGTCTTAACCACTGCAATGAGGTCAAGTAAGATATTTTGCCATTGATTTGATTTGGCAACTGAGAGGTGACCTGTGTGACAGCAGTGGATCAGGACAGACTGGTGGTCTGGGGGACCCTAGGAAGTAGGGCAAGACCCTCAGTGTGGATTACTTCTAGAAAGTGTACTCTGGAAGGAAAGTGAGTTGTTAGTCAATAGCTAGAAGGAGACACTTTCTAACATGTAGTCTTTGTGATGTGACATAAAAACAGATAGGATTTTAACAGGCAAAGCTCAGCTGATGGCATTAAAGAGAAAGAGATGGTGTGAACAACAGCTTAGACAGAATAAAGCACAAGACAGGTTTGAAGAAAAGCGAGTGGACTGTTTAGGCAAAGTGTATGAGGTGCATGGGAAGGAGAAAAGAGGTTGGTGAGATATTGTCAAGGGCATTGACAAGAATGATGACTGTGTATGTTGTTTGAGGTAACATGATGAAAGCTGTATCTGCGACAGAAGCAGGACAAACATCAAGATCTTTTAACTACCAAGCCCTTTCTATGGCAGCATGTGGCCAGTTTGCCTGTAGTCATAGCACTGGTATTAATAATAATAATGAATATTTGTATAGCACTTCACAAATGACAGAGTGCTTTCAGCTTCACTCCCTGAGGTGGTCCTCACAGCAGCTCTGTGGCAGGTGACCCAAGATGTATTACCTCTACTTACATATGAGAACTGGAGGATCATTTCATGGAGTAGATTATCCAAGCTCTCAAATTGAGGAAGTGATTTCCAGGGTGTTGCATGTTAGATTTCCTGGCCAGCAGATCTCACTCAGAATTTAGTGTGCAGGAGGTTTATTAGGGAGTCCTCTTGGGATTGGTGCCTAGGAAAGGGAAGGCACAGAATTGGACAGAGAGAGAAATGGAGCTGCAATACAGTCACAGTGGAAGTCTGACTTACCCTACAGGGAGCTTTTGGATGACCTCTTAGAGTAGTATTGAGTTTACAGGCTTTTATATGTTGGTGTTACTTTTCCCAGCCATTGAGTACAGTGTAGGCCTCCTGGTAGGGGGTGTGATCCTGGACACTTCAGCCCTCCTCAGCTAAAGCAATTCCATTAAGGGCTTACTGTTGGCATTACTTCCAGCAGCTGGGGTGATGAGTCATTTATATCTGAAGAGATCAGGGTGCATCCCAGTGTCCACTATGCAGCTGGGCAGCTTTGCTAGAAAGCATTAAAGAGAGATAATTAGTCTGAATCCCTTATTTTATGTGTATGGAAACTTGGGCCCAGGAAGAATAAATGATTTGTCCAATATCAAAAAGATATGCATAACTGAGATGCAAACCACATTTCCAAATTCCCATTCCAATCCCTTTTCCACCACCCTATACAATGTCAGGATAGCAGGATAGACAGATGTATGGAGCAGGTTGTGAGATTAGATTGCTGGTGACTCTGCCCACCTGAGAACTTAGAAAACAATTTGCTTGGCATTGTTTTCTTTTGATGTAGAGGTGTAATACAATCATAACCTACCAAGTGACCTAACTCCTCTCCTACTTTAAAGGATTACTTAAACTGCAGAAAATAGGCCAAAGTATTTGAAGGAGTAATTCATTCTAAATTGCTCCCTTGCTAAGGAAAATGTACGAACTCATCATTCCTGGGAGTTCAGGTACAGTGGAAGCAGTAGTCCACTCAGTGAGCCTGGGCCACACCCTCTACCATGTGGGTACCTTTTGGAATAACTAGATGATCAAAGCACAGAGTTCTTTGGACATCTACAATGGGCAAGGCATTCGGCCAAAAATTGTGAAGAATAAGGGAGCACGTGGAACTTGCTCCCTGACCTCCACAAATGCACTGTCTCATTAAGACAAGACACACACCCAGGGAGTGAAACAGCAATGCAGTGTGCCATATTATGTTAGCTCTGAGTGCCAGAATGAATGGTAATAAAGAAGGAGAAAGGGGAAAAGACAGTAACTGAGTTTTATTGAGTGCTCACTATATGCCAGAAACTATTCTCATAACCCTTGAGGTTGGTATTTTTATGAAGTTCATTTTCGGTTGAGGGGAATAAAGTATAGTGAGGTGAAGGAACTGACCCCCGCTAACACTGCTGATAAGCAGCAGAGGCAGGTGAGCTGGCCCCAGATCCTGTGTGCATAACTACCTACCCAACTGTCTCCCTAGATGCTAGCGGGGATCAGTGGCCTGCTGGATCCCTGTTGTTGGAGCTGTTAAAAAGATCACTTCCTCTCATTTTGTACCAGGACAAGCTCATTTCTAGATGCACAATGTCAGAAACTTCTGCTTCCAGCTGTTTCTTCTGTACCAATGATTTTTACATTGAATGAGGTGGTATGTGACCTCAGGCAAGTTACTTAACCTTTCTGTGCCTCAGTTTTTCCATCTGTAAGTCAGAAAAATAATAGTATCCATGTTTCAGGATTAGATGAGTTCATACATGTCAAGTACACGAAACAGGATGTGGCACATAGTAAGCATTCAATAATTTCTCTCAAGAATTCACTTGTAGAAGCCTTCATCAGAATAGTACACTAACAGGGACTCATTAAAAGTAGTGGGTAGATGTAACGCCCTAGGCTGGGTGCTTACTGCAGCTGTGGTGTGAGAAATCATCACCCCACTCCACTCCCTTCCTTTCTGTTGTACCAGCAGAATGTTACCATGGCTAGCTGGCAGCTTCTGCTGATCGAGGGAACAAGAGTTGGCCTGCCGACATGAACTTCAGTTTCCTACAGTCTTACTTCTTCTATGTTACTTACCCATAGGAAAGCACTTTTTTAAAACCACTGCTAAGCCAAAATCTGAGCATGCAGTAGCTAGAGAGTGATATGTATACAGGAAAGGGAGTGCTGGATATTTAACTCATCCACCTTCATAATTATGTATTGACTGGAAGTGAATTCTATAGGAAGAGCAGGATCTCTTTTCAAATGGCAAAAACTTATTTTAGGGGAAAGAAGTTTGTTTTAATTACTTAGTAGTTCCATATGTGGGTTCTATATACTTAGTCCTTTTTCATAAGAGGCCCATCATTAATCTTTTATTATAGTTATCTAAGGCAGTCTACTCAAAGTATGGTGTAGGGATAGGGGCTAGTCCACAGCCATTACCAGGCTGCAAAAAATTAAGAAGAGAACTTGGGAGTTAAGCACTTAGAAACCTCATTAACAACTTGGTATTGCCACTGAGACATCTAAGCCTATGATCAGTAGTCTCTTCTTGCTGAATAGGTTATATAGGTCAGTTTGAGTAACAAACTCAAACAGCAAATTATGTGTGATTATTAGTCCTGTGAAGTCAGTTCTCGTATCAGTACGTGTGAGTTTGGGAATAAAAAACTTAGTCCTTCACCATAGATAGTTTGAGAAGCAATGTTCTAGGAGAGAAACATTAGCTCTCTGGGTTGGCTTATATGGTATATTGTTGGATGCTCTTTTATTAACAGGTCCTACTACTAATTGCTGTATTAGCACTGATGAACATTGAACTACAAAATCATAATTGGTCTTCATTAGTTAACGCAAACTTGTAAATAGTGTTTAAAAAAATATGGCATTTAGAAGCAATATGGCCTCAACCCACATTGGCACACCTGTTAATAAAAGGTAGGACCTGTTAATAAAAGGTAGGACCTGTTAATAAAAGGTAGGACCTGTTAATAAAAGGTAGGACCTGTTAATAAAAGGTAGGACCTGTTAATAAAAGGTAGGACCTGTTAATAAAAGTATTAACAGGTCCTACTACTAATTGCTGTATTAGCGCTGATGAACATTGAACTACAAAATCATAATTGGTCTTCATTAGTTAACGCAAACTTGTAAATAGTGTTTAAAAAAATATGGCATTTAGAAGCAATATGGCCTCAACCCACATTGGCACTCATCATTCTTGTGACCAGCATCCACCAGTGACAGATACATTCACAACTTCTCTCACAGAGATGCCATGAAAAGTATGTTTAAACAGAATAGCAGATTATATCCATTTCTCATGAAAGCCACCCTTCAATTTCCATGAAGGCTGCTGTCTGATTTTTATTAGTCCTATCCTGATACTTTTCAGCCCTGAACCTAAGGTCCTGTTTGTATTTTCAAACATTTTATTAGTCCTATCCTGATACTTTTCAGCCCTGAACCTAAGGTCCTGTTTGTATTTTCAAGTCTTAGTGAATGGTGGGAACAAAGTGTACTGTTAGCTGATACCTGCTGTTTCTCATCCTTGCTAAAAAGTCTCTTTTTAAAATAGGAAAATATATTTGTTGATCGATCAAGAATGGCCCCAAAAACTCCAATAAAAAATGAACCAATTGATTTATCGAAGCAAAGAATCTTCACTCCAGAACGAAATCCCATCACACCTGTTAAGCTTGTCGACAGACAGCAGGCAGAACCATGGACACCCACAGCTAACCTGAAGATGCTCATTAGTGCTGCCAGCCCAGACATAAGGGACCGGGAGAAGAAAAAAGGGCTGTTCAGACCTATTGAAAACAAGGATGATGCATTTACAGACTCTCTGCAGGTAAACAAGCTGTGCTCCTAAGGGCTTTTGTAGAACTTAAAAAATTTTACTTAATTATTTAAAAGTCATTGAATACCCAGTTTTTCAGTTCCTATTGAGCCAACAGCAGTATTGAACTTAGTATCTTTTTACTTACAGCTAAATTCTCATATTGTGTCTTATATTTCTTAGTGCATGCTTTCTTCTCTTCTGTATGACCAGAACACATTTAAGAATGACAAATTTCTTTAAGTAGTGATATTTAATAATTTTGATATAATGAAAGAATTTGGATTTTCTAAGTGCTGCTGTGAATTTTAATTTTGCTCAAACTTTAAGGATAGTGTTAATCTAAATATTTTATGTTCAGTTCATTGGTTTTGGGTTTTTTCAAAGTGAAGCTATCTTTAAGTTACCTGTCCTGTGGGGAACGAGAACAGTTGAATAAGCAGCATGTCTATACTTTTTTAAAAACTCAGTGCTCAGTAATTTTCACTGTTCTATTATACTTTTCCCCAAACTTGATAAGAAAAGTTTCTTGCAGATTTGAGTGTTCTTAGCCATTTTTTCTCCTTTTGGTAGATTTTTTTGAGATATAAAAATTGCCAAAATAAAGAAATTAGGAAGGGAGAAAAGAAAAAGATGTCCCAAATTACAACTTGAAATTCTGCTCTGTGTATCTTTTGTGGTAGGACGAACAGATTATTACATGTAACTAAATGTAAGTCATACAGTTTTGAGAGTATTTCCTATATGCTTAAATCCAGAAGAATTTCACAATTTCTGTTTTAAGTCTAGGATGTTTTTTGGCTTCCTTTCCATTTTACATTTGATGTGGAAAGCATAGGGAGCTTAGTTTCAGAGGCGTTGGGTTCAAGTCACTAGCTGAGTAACTGGGGGAAATCACTCGGGATCTATCTCTACACTCTGTTTACTCATCCGTAAAATGTGTCATGGTACCTGTCCTGGTTTTACTAGGTTTTACTAGAATTAAATAAAATTAAGTGTACTTTTTGCTATCAAAGGCATATAAATATTAGGGTTTGGGTTTTTTTTTTTTTTTGTGGGTTTTTTTTTTTTTTTTTTTTTTGTCTTTTTT